GTTGGTACTTTTGATGTATTCCATAATTTAGTTAATTCTTCTTTTACAATTTCTTGTATGTTTAATTCTTGTATTCTTATTTGATGTTCTTTAATTTCAGTTAATATTTTTATTATGTTTTGTAGTTGCTCTTTTATTACTATTTCATTCCATATTTGATCTATTTTTTCAGTTAAATCCATTCTATTCATTTATATACTTTTTTCTCCATCATCCTTCAAGTATTATCCATTCTTTTCTTGGTTCATTCCTTTTTTCTTTTAATACTTTAATTTCATTTTCTATTTCTTCTTGTCTCGATGTATATTCTATATATTTTAATTGTGAAACTATTAGATTTTCTTCTATCATCTCTTTTATTTGTTTTAATTCTTTTTCCTTCTTTTCTATTTCTTTTGATATATTCATAATCTATCTATAAATCTAATTTTTTCCTTGATCATTTATTTCTACTCCTTCATTTGTTATTTTATATCTTATCATACTCAGAAAATTATTTCCTAATAGTAATTCATAAGGACCAGAGCTGATCCTATCATTTTATGGGCTCGGGACAAAACAAAAACAAGGGCCCTATATGAAGTTAAAAAATTGTACGGTTAATTGAAAATAATTAAATTATAATTTTGAATTTGTATAAATATATAATTTTTTTTATTAAAAAACATTTTAGAATAGCTTTTGAGTAGTACCCATTCAAACTCTAGACTCTATATGAAGTGTAATTATAAATTAATTCAATGTTCGCAAATATATGTCTATTAGCCTAAATAAGTATATCAAATAGTTATAATTAGAGTTAATACCATCTGAGGTCCTCCGAGTATACTGGTTTTGCCACGTTTAGTCCTAAACTTTCAAATCGACCATTTGTGGTCCTTTGACTTTCAAATTTAATCATTCGTGGTCCAAGTTAACCACCCATGGTCCTTCAAGTTTTGAAATTTAACCAGTAGTGGTCCTTATGAAAGGACCATGGTTGGTTAAAATTTAATAGTTGAAGGACCATGTGTGGTTAACTTGGACCACGAATGGTTAAGTTTGAAAGTCGAAGGACCACATATGATCAATTTGAAAATTTAGAACTAAACATGACAAAACCAATATACTCGGAGGACCTTATATGGTATTAACTCGTTATAATTATTAAGTATATTTTTTTAAAAAAGTATATTTAAAATTAATAAATAATTTTGAAGTCATTGTTTCACATCTTTACATATGCAAGTTTTTTTTTTTTAACTTCATTAAAAATAAAAATCCAAACTAGGGCCCCTCCCAATGTTGGGTCCAGGGCGGGTGCCCATCCTGCCCGCCCCTCTGGACCGGCCTTGATAAGGACTATCATATTCTAGAACACCTATATTAATATTATATTCTAAATCTTTTATTTTAAATTTTGAAATTATTGATTTGTTTACTATTATTTCCCTTTCATCATTTGGTAAATTATATATTTGAGGTTCAATCGTAATACATTCTTTTTCATTAATTTTACTTACATGTATAAAATTATTACTTGTGTCTGTAGTAATTGTTGCTATTCCTTCTGTTACCATCATTCCATTAAACATTATTATTTTTATTTTTAATTTATTAGGTCTATTATATTGATTATTTACTAAATCTAGTTTTCTGGGTATAAATTTTGTTTTTCCTGATTCTATAGGTCTTGGTATGATTTGTTTTTGAAAGCTTATTTTACTTCCTTGTACTATTGGTATTAATTTTTCTACTGGTTTTATTCTTCTACTTTCAAAATCCATATATATATCTTTAGGTATTGTAATTTTAGAGTGTTCTTTATATGCTATAGGTTCTAAAATTTCTTGATATAGTTTAGGTACTATTATTTTCATCTCATGTTGTTTTCTTACTTGGTGATTCCCTGTTAAAGCATGAATCATTTTTGTTTCTATACTCATTACTTTGCATCCTTGAGGCATTTTAATTCCTTGTAATTTATAGTACAGAGTTAAAGCTAATTCTTTATGTTCATCTTCTAATGATATACTAAAGTCTGGTTGTACTGTAAATTTTAATTTTTGATAAATTAGATTTTCTCTTACTACCGTTATTAAAGCATCTAATATATTTCCTTGTATTCTATCATCTGATATATATATTTCTATGGGTGTGTCAACATTTTTTTGAAAGTATCCTTTTATAGTAAATTCTATGGCTCCAAAATAAACATTTCTATATCTCTTTGCTTCTGCTTTTGATAATTTTCCTAATTCTCTTTTTAATATTTCATCTGTTATTAAATTTATTTTTGCTTTTCCACTAATAGTTGTAATATCTATTGCATTTTCATGTTTTGTACTATATATCTTATGTCTTTATTTCTATCAAACCATTTCGTTTTAAATATTTTATTAATGGTAAATTGTGTTTTCTCATTTTTCATTTTTTCATAGATTTCAGGTTTAAAGGTTAAAGTTTGTGTTACTCCACCTTCATAAGTATCCATTTGATAATGTGTTTCTCTGGGTCTTCCATTATTTTTTCTTTTCCTTTATCCATAAGTTAATTTATCAATTTGAAAATAACATTCTTCTATAATCTTTTTATATTGTCTTATTTCTCTTTCCTTCTGATTTTCTATTCTTAGCTTTTCTTCTAATAGTGTTCTTATTTGTGTATCCTTTTGTCTAATTTCTTCTTCTTTTATTGTTAGTCTATTATTTAAACTATTTATTTCTTCTGAAGCTTTTATGATTTGAGTATCTTTTTGTAATATTTCTTCTTCTCGTTGTTTTATTATTTCTAAACTTATTCTACAACTTATAATGTGTTGATTAATATCTCTATTATATTCTAATGGTTTAGCCGCTATATATTCTATTGCTTCCATTTTTTAACAAATATAATACTTATTTTGTTCATATAATCTATTTATATATGCTTCTAGTGGAATTACTAAATTACTAAATAATACTAAAGAAGAAAACATACAAGAATGGTTATTAATAAAATTAGAATTAAATGATACAATTAATGGAATTAAATCTTAAGGAAAAATTAAAATCTGATAAATTTGAGTCATTCATTTGATTAAAAAATTTGACCGCCATTTTTTCTACCCATTATATACCTAACTCTCTTGGGCTCTTATTAGTATAGTATATAGTAGATGTGTTCAAACATACTTTTTCAACCTAATGAAACACAAAGAGTCAACAACGCATCCACTAAGGTTTGATCTCATGACCTCCCACATGAGAGATGTCACTACATGCGATCTGAGCACAAGATGATTGGTAAATTTAGAGCATCTTTATCAGTTGGGGTTATTTCTCAATTATTTGTGGGTCCCAGCATCCACCCATCTTCCACTATCTCACTTAATCACAAAAAAATTCTTCTCCACATTAATTTTGATTTATTTCTCAATTTTTATGGACCCACCATTTAATAAAAATAAACAAATTAAATGTTAAAATCTTGGGAAGAGAAATATCCCAACCCCTTGCAAGAGGATTCTTTTTTAATTATTTCATTCACACATCAACTTTGATATTCACTTGGGAGAATTAATTCTGACATCAACTCACAAATCTTATCTATAGTGGATGCTCTTATTTACTTAACTATTGAGAACTATTATACTAATTTGATTTGATTTGATATGGGGTTGACCATGATTTCATGTCTACGAAAATTCCTCGCTAGAATGGAAATGGAGGAAGATTTCCTATCCTCGATAGGGATAGGGACACAAGTGAGGTTTCGAGGAGGAAAAAGGGAATATACCCCCTACCATTTTTTATGTTGCCATTCCTATCAACAAATGAGTTGGATGGATATTTTTAAAATTGTAAACATAATAAATTGTACATGTACGATTCAAATTAGCCTAATATTTGAAAAAAGTTACACTTGTGAATCTAATTATCCACACACATTCTCGCAAAACATCCTCCTGAGTCTTGAGACTAAACTCCTAAAACTCGTGGCCTCTGTCCTTCCACTCCCTCCATCATTGTCTCCCCTACAAAACACTCTTGGTGATCTGCTGTCATCTTAGATTTCTTCGTGCTTCGTTGTCTCCAAAAGATCCTGATCTTCCACCGTACGGACTGCCGCAGTTGCTAGGGGTGTGCAAACTTCGGTTAACCAATTGAACCGAAATATTTCGGTTAACCGTTTTTTAAATGGAAAATTTCGGTTAACGGTTAATTCGATTCGAAAGTATCGGTTAACTGAACTGAAATTTTAAATATATATATAATTAAATATATATGGATGTTTGGACTTTATAACTTGTGCTTTTATGTTTGTAGTGTTGTTATGGTTTTTATTTGTATATTTTCTTATGAATTTATTATTATAGATATAATTTTAATTGAATTTATTATTATATGTATTATTTTAAAGATTTAAAACTTTAGCTTAAAAATTTCGGTTAACCGACCGATTAACCAAAAAAAACTCTGATTCGATTAATTCGGCAATACAAAGTTCAGTTCTGTTAACAATTAAGCCTTTGAAAACTTCGATTAAAACGATTCGGTTAACCGATTGCACACCCGTTGCACCTGCAAGCGTTCCCGGAGGAGCATTTCTAGAGACGAGGATTTTCGCTTTTTTGTTATATTAATTTATTAAGTGCAATCAATAAATACATTATCTCTCCTTTCAAAAGAAAAAAAAAAAAAAACTATTGTAAATGTTGGAAATCCTGGAATAATTATAGCAAGTATATGTAAGTAAATGCAATATTTAATTTGCTAACCATAAATAGAATGTGTGAACGAATCATTCTTCATATTTTTTGTCTTTAATTCCCTGAATCAAAGGGATTCAAAACTTAAACTGATAGTAAAGAAAAAAAAAAAAAAAAACAAAAACAATTACAGGGATAGTTAATTAGTAATATTCCACGTCTTCATTCGCCTATATAACCAATGGTTAGTGAAGCCAAAAGCCAATGACCACAACTCTCTTCGTTCTTTCTTTCATACTTCAATTTGTTCTACAAAACATATTTCAAGAAAATGGCTTTTCGGTTTTCACTGAAGGTTTTCTCTCTGGTATGCGTAGTCTTTGTGACAACAATAACTAGCTATAACGAAGCTCGTATCCTCAAAGAAGAGAGTGATGATATGGTTCAAGACAAATTACCGATTCTCCCACCTCTCCCTTTTCCTATTCCGCCTTTTCCATTCCCATTACCAAATGTTCCTGGCCTTCCCCCTCTCCCTTCATTGCCATTACCACCTGGGTTTCCTAATATTCCAGGTCTTCCCCCTTTGCCTTCATTGCCATTTCCACCCTTTGGCCCTGCAGGGTTTCCCAATAAATATTCCAGGGCTTCTTCCCCCTATCCCTTCATTGACACTATTCCCACCCCGCCCCCAAGCTCCTAAAATCATGGCCTCAAGTTGATAGATAATTTGGAAGATTTTTATTGAATAATGGGCCAACTTCACTCTCAAATCTCAATTGCAGTTATAATCATAATTTGGCTTTCCTTTATTATTGTTGTTCTCTTTCGTTTTTTTAGCGATTATTATTAATACAATAAGTTGTAATGCTAGAGTTACTATATATTTTGTAGAGCATTTGATAAATGAATTGATGAATAATATTTTTTTCTCTTTTTTTTAATTCAAATATTTCATTTACAACCCATTTGGTTCGTTAGAAAATATTTGAAGGGAAATGGAATTGAAATTTTATGGAAAATAAATTTCAGAAAAATAGATAAAGACAGTTATACCCTTATACAATAATAACAATAATAATAATGTTAATTAATAACAACCCATTAGGTTCCTACTTGTTTTCGATGAAAAACAAAATACCAAGGAGAGCCATGGAAAATGTTTTCCTCATTCTTGAGAAAAATGTTTTTAATGAACCAAACAAATTAAAGAAAAAGTGTTTTCCTCAAATTTAAGAAAAATATTTTCCTTGAAAAATATTTTTCAGCGAACCTGCTAAGAAGTAATTCATGCCAAGAAGTGAAAAATAATGTAGGAGTGATTAAATTATAGAATTGTATATGAGTAAATGCAATATTGAAATTGAAATTTAATTTGCGAACTTTAAATATAATGCGTGAACAAATGATCGAAATTATATATATATATATATATATATATATATATATATATATATATATATATATATATATATTGTAATTAATTCATCAAAAAGGTTATATGGAACAAAATTAAGGTTATATGGTTAGTGAAGCCAATGACCATAACTCTCTTCTTTCATATTCTTTTATTATTATTATTATTATTATTATTATTATTATTATTATTAGTTATGTGAGTTGATCAACACATCCCATGCTAAAAATAAATATATTTATTTTTTAAAGGAAGGGAGACACTCACATACTTGCCTACACCGAGGCTCAAACACTAAACCTTCCATATAAGGGATCAAATTGGATACCAGTGGACTAGCTATAAGCCACTTGGTAAATAAATATATTTATTAATATATGGTTGCTAATTTTTCACAATAACCATAATAATATTGTTTTAGTAAAAAAGAGTTTTGTGTTTTTGGCTTTGGGTGACTGATTATGCTTGTTGTATTTATGTAATAATTCGTTTTTTTTTCTGGCTGATTATCTTGTTACTGATACGAAGTGGTGCGCTGAGTTTAGGTGATTGGGAGTGGCTGTGGGTAGAGTGATAGCAGTGTTGCTAATCGTTCGCTCGGAGGAGTTCGCCATCGGAGAGGAACGAACGAAGAATGCGAAGAAGAAGCGTAGATTGAGGGAGTCCTAACGCTATCTGATACCAAATTAGAGAAAATCAATTAATCTCATTAATTACAATATCCTACACATCAGGATATAGTTACAAGAATAATTCAACTGCTTAATATATCTAATACTGTCCACCCAGGATTAATCTTTAATTCTTGATATTAGTTTGGCCTGGTAGAGATACACATGTACCTTAGACTTGTGATTAGTCTTTTTCTGCCCAAATAGCTATGCTACACTCTTCTACAACCAAAAAAAAAATAAAAAAAATCAGAATATAATAATCACTATCAAACATAAAATTAATATGGAAGGGTAATATTTTATATATAACGGCACGTTAGACCGAGAATATTATGTACTGATTTTAATATGAAAGGGTTATTTCCAATTTTCATGTCCAAATCAAAAGTTACCAATATACTGCGTATCAATCAATATATTTTAATTGATTAAATATTATAGAGTACTTTTTAATCATTTAATCCTTAATATGAGCTTCTTTTTTTTTTTTTTTTTGTTAATGCTACTGACTCTATTAGATTTTAGTATCTTTTTTAGAAGGGTTCAGGTATAGTAAAAGCTTTCTGTGCGGTTTTGCGGTTGACACATCTTAAGCACTAAAATCTAGATCAACGGCTCAAACAACGCACCTTAAGTGTTAAAATGACGCACCTTAAGTATTAACAACGCGCACCTTCAATTTATAACAATGGCGCACCTTAAGTGATACAAAGACGCACCTTAAGTGTTAAAATAGCCACCTTAAGTTTTGTTCAAAAATTTTGTTCTTGAGAGTCTGATCTACCCGTGACTCAGACCCCTTAGTTCAAAAGGGAGAAGGGTGTTAATTACCGTACTAAAAAAGATTGGTAATTACCATTTTTAATTAAGATTTAAGATTGTTAATTACCATTTTTAGCTTTAATTTCCATAAAAAATGAGATTTTGGAAGAAGTTGATATCAAAAGTTTAGTCGATTTGATTTTCCGTTTAAATGTGTATAGTTCATGCCACTTTTTAAATTAAATTTTAGATGTATTTTTATACAATATTTATATTTCAACATAACTTTTTGAACAACTATTATTAAATTATTTTTATAAAAAGGGCCAAATTAAAATATCGCACAGGACCCCAATTTTTATTGAAATGGCCCTGCTAGTAGTCTATCACATTCTATTCTGTTCCAGATTTGAAGAAGAAACACGATGCACCTTGAGCACAAAACTCACGCACCTTAAATTTCAACAAATACTCAAATTAAGAACACAACCCACACACCTTAAGCACAAACCCCACGTACCTTAAGCACAAAACCCACACACCTTAAGTACAAAAACCACACACCTTAAGTACAAAAACCACACACCTCAAGAAGGAAAAACACGCACCTTAAATTTGATCAAGATGCAAAAATTACCAAATTGTCACCACATTTTTTTAAAATTTTGGTAATCTGGACGTTGAATTAAGCAAGATCTATAGCTCAAATTTAACCGCACAACCGCACCTAGACGCACCAACCACATTTGAACCTAATTCTCTCTCTCTCTCTCTCTCTCTCTCTCTCTCTATATATATATATATATATATATATATATATATATATATATATATATATATATATAACGATGTCGTTTGGGATATGTATATATATATGATACAAAGGCTAGGGTTTCCCATTTCACGCAGTCGCTCTCCTCTGATTCCTCTCCTTCTCTGAGTTCTCTCTATTCTCTTACTCTCTAGTTTGTACTCTGTAATACTCTTCCTCTCTGAATTCTCGACTTCTCACTTCGAGAGTTCTTTCTAGTTTGTAACTTTGTATACTCTCTGTCTCTCCCGACTCCGCCACTCTCCCGTAGTCCCGTTCGACACCGTTGTTGCGGTTGTGGTCTGGTGGAAGCCTCTGCATGCAAAGACATCGTTGTTGCCATTTTGATATTCGTCGGTGGAAGACCCAAGCCAAAAAGTGAGGTGTTGTCTTTTATATATATATATATATATATATATATATATATATATATATATATATATATATAAAAGACAACACCTCACTTTTTGGCTTGGGTCTTCCACCGACGAATATCAAAATGGCAACAACGATGTCTTTGCATGCAGAGGCTTCCACCAGACCAACCAATATTAGTACTTTATATAAAATTTTTAAATTTATTTAGATTTTAGATATTCATATTATTGTAAATAATAATAATAATGTAAAATATTTTTTAAATATATATATATATATATATATATATATATATATATATATATATATATATATATATATATTTAAAAAATATTTTACATTATTATTATTATTTACAACAATATGAATATCTAAAATCTAAATAAATTTAAAAATTTTATATAAAGTACTAATATTGGGCAAATATTTTTTCGCATCGTGCATATAAATACTCGTGTGTGTGTGTGTGTATAAAAGTTGAAATGCTGTGAGGCCCTCCCGTGCGACGGTTTTTAGAATACACTCATAGTGTTAACTCAGCCTCCTCATCTTCAAGCACCACATCCGCCCATCGGGCGGTGAGGCCAGCGACTCCCGTAAAAGACGATGAAGCCATGCAGACGGACCAACACAGTAAAATGGACTCGGATATCGGAGAAAATTAGGATGAGATGGAACCAAAACACTTACTGTGATTCTTGTTTCTCTTCTACAGAACCTAGAGCTTGGGAGTGGAGAGGCAAATGAAAGGGATCAGGAGAAAACATAGAGATATTGTTCTATTTATATGGGTGCAAAAGCTAGGTTGATGCCCAATGATTGGTTGAGGGCAGAGGGGTAATTTGGCTTGTTTTCTAAAAAGATCATACAAAGCTTGTAGAACTTCATGGTTCATCTTGTATCATGGACCAAGGTCCCAATATGATTTTTGATAACTTGTGGTCAAAAATAGATTTTTTGAAAATAGTTTCTAGTTAAAACACTTGGTTCGGGTTTCATAGATTCTTCTCAGGTTTCACTCAGATTGACTTTTTGGGTCAAAACTTGGTACACAAATGTACTCAAAATTTAGGATTTTCGAAATAGGATATTTCTTGGTGTTGAATTTATTTAAAAACTCGGTTTAAAAATATTTAATTCATACACCATTTTCAAAATAAAATTTTTGGAAGAGTGAAAATTGCTATTTTGGAATTTATAAAATAGAATTAGGAAAAATTATTTTTGGGTTGTCATACAACCTCTGCCTCATCTATCCCATGCTCAACTCACAAGTCAATTGCACCCCAATGTTGAGCCAAGTAACTCATGTGCAATGTACTTTTATCATTATTCAACAACGGGAGGCTCTTTAAACTCTCATGTGGTAGTTAAATGACAGTGAAAATATTTTACCATACCTCTCCTCCTTAATAAATTTCAATAAGTGAAGATATGATAACAAATCAGAGTCCATTGTCATTGTTTCCACCTCACCACCTACATATTCCATCCTAGGTTCTTGGACATAATTCCCACCATGGTGAATTCTGATTTCAACCGTGGAATACATTCTACAAAATATAGACATATTTAATAGTATTAAAAACATGGTGTCTGGATTTTACCCTACTAAAAATTTTATTACTCTGTATTTTTGTGATTTTTTGTGATAGAAGTTT